CTCTGTACACCTACAGTCCAAAGCTGTTTAAAATGCTCTACATATAAGAAAAAAGTAATATGACAAAATTTAAAACCCACCTGAATGAGTTCCTACACCAGTGCCTGATATTTTGTCCTCTGCATCCAAACCTGAAATATGGCCAGTATGACAGCAGTTTGATGATAGTCTACACCCGCTCTTCTAAGTAAAAGGAGCATGAATATGTAAATAATGCATCACAAAAAGGAACACATTGAGAGCATTAGCGTGCCAAAGAACCGTCACACTCCTTAACATTTATTTGACTAAGAAATGTGGATGTGCTGTCACACCTGTTGTTGTTGTTGTTGTTTTCATTTGCTATCCAGTTATTACTTATTATTACAGAAATCTGGATTTAAAGGTTTAATCAAACTTTGCATATTTTATCTTCATTTTACATAATATCTTCTCTGACAACACCATTTTACATAAAGGTGAACTGTTAACCACCATTTTAGCATGAAAATGAATCAGGAGAAACTGCAGGCCGACACATTCACTCTGTCTAACAACACAAACATACAGCTTGGTGAACAGAAATGTCAGAAACACTGAGTCTCCTATTGCACTCCGGACATCTAGATAACTCTGTGCACTACACAACCTTTACAGGAAGGATCATTAACTGTCTACGACTTGTCTTTGGTTAGGCGTCTTTCCCTCTTAGAGACCTTTATAAATAATCATATTGTCACAACACATTAGCTGTTGGGGATCAACGTAGGGGCAGGTTTGGTTATTAGCTGAATATCAATTCTAGAAATATTAGTAAAGTTATTAATATCATACATTCTTAATTAGGCTTAATAAAAACAGGGCACCACCCTGGAACCAGGGACCAGTAGCCAAACCTTAAAGCACTCTGAAGAAGAAGAAGAAGATTTATTTATTAATAGGGAACTTTTTAGCAAGTGCAAAGACAATAAAACACAGATAAAAACAAGAAAACACAAATCAAACAGAAAAAACAAATTTTGTGTGAATTTTGTCCTTCAGTGATTTGAGGTACGGAGCACTGTTCTAGGATGTTTAAGCTGACTTCAGAGATTGCTGGTCCGCCTGTTGAATGCCTCTCTGCCCTCTGTATTTGAGGATGGAGGCTTGAACACTTGGTCAGTCCAGTTGTTGAAACACCTATGCATTTCATTGTTTGTAATTCTGAAAATGATGTGAGAGAACTGAACTGAACATTGACGCATTCACAATGTCTAACAACACTACAAATAATTCAACTCAGATGTTAGGACTAAGCTCCCATCCCTCAGCACAAGATGGTCTAGAAGGGACAGCTTTGCGTATTGATTTGCATTCCCTGGACCACAACAATGGGTTTCCTCCACCAGAGTTTGTTTTCTCCTCCACATCCGCACAGTCCACAATAATGAGAAACCTGAGATGTGTTCCTGGCTGTTGTAACAGCAGCAGTTGTTGTGGTCGTTCTAGTCACCTGAGACCAAATGCGAGCGTTTGTTCAATCTCCTGGGAAAGGACACCTTTGTGGTGTCGCAGACTTTCTCCCCTGTGGAAAAATGGCTTCTCTACTGTGGTGTCAGGTTCTTTCACTCCTCTTCCAAACAAGCAGTCAGAATAAGAAATACTTCATTATTCCCCGAGAGAAAATTCTTGCGTCACAGTTGCACACATTACACATCAAGGCACAAAAGAATAGAAATAATAAAATAAGTTGGTCAGATTGCTTTAATAGCAGAAAAATAAAAAATCAATAAATTGATAGCGGCTGATGCTGAAATAGACACTCACATAATCACTTCCACTTAAGTGACTGTGCCTCCCAAAATAAAAGCGCGAGAACGTTTTTTGAGAGCTTTAACTTTGAAAAGTTCTGAATTAAAATTAGTGTCCATAGGTTTATAAATGCGGATCAAACGCCGGGGACGCGCACACACTGCAACACATGTTGTTAGGTTAATAAGTGTGCAGTGTGTTTCTTTACCTGATATACAAGACTCAATTTAAAAATACAGTAGGCTACTGGTAAGAACATTTTCCGAAGTAATTATATTGTAATTGTATTGTGTAATGTGTTATGTAATTTCAGTACTTGCACTACAAAGTATTTAAATTTAATTTCTGCTCCACTACATTTCAGAGGGAAATGTGGTCATTCTTACTGCACTGCATTTATAGTTACTTTATTTTGACATATGTGACACTAGGTTGAAAAAATCTGCAGTTCTCAACCTTTTTTGCTTGTGACCCCACAAGCTGCGTGTAGTTAGACCCCTTGTCGTGTATTAGATGTCTAAATTGTAATTAGTTCCGACTGGACTCAACCTATGAATATAGTTAAAGTAGTTCCAACTACTACTACTACTAGCTACTGCTTCACTGTCCATCCACTATGACTGCTTTTGAGCACCAAGCATCATTGAAAACTTGTGTTGTTTTAATAAAGAAGTGAGTCAATAGTCCTTCTTGTTTCATTACTTCCTGCAGTGTTGAAAAGCATACATTTTAAAAATGTGTCTTGGTCTTGACACATTTTCAATCAATCAGCGTTTCAATGTAAACCCTGGTAATAAATTTCATTCATTCATTTCATTTCCTGTGACTGCTTCACAATAAAAATCACCCCGTGTTCCTTCAGTTGAATGTTTTAAATATGAGCAGCAGCAGTTAGCATTAGCAGAAACTTGTGCAGCTGTTAGAGAGTGAGCAGTTAACAGTGATGGATTCGTACATGCCTGCTTCTCAAACTTTTAAAAGACAAAAGCAAGTAAAGTTAAACTCCTCACTGTGCCTCATTCATATATTTCAAGCAGGAGAAGAAATCTTTCCTGCAGCTCACATTACAACAGGCCATTTAGCTTGTGGCTTTTCAGTTCGGTCTTCACATGAGCAGACTTCCAGTCTGTGTGAATGGGTTTTTATCCATCAGGTTAGCCAAAAGCTTTTCAGTAAAGTGTGCAGAGTTGATGAAATCCTCTCCCAGTGATGCCTGAACAGTCAGAGATCCAGCATGAAATATAAGAGGTTAGTTTGGAAGGGATCAGTGGACCAACCAAACGGGTATTTCTGTCTGAGGAGAAGGAAATTCATCTGAGAGCTCTGAATGGAGCTAAATACTGAATTAAGTGTGTAATTTCTATTGTCATCATGTATGATTAAATAATTATAATTTATTTATCATCATAACTGTGTACACTGTGCAGCTTATCAAGTCATTACTTTAAGCTTTTAGCAGTTTATCTTCCTAAAATGCAGTTTGCTAGTTTCCAAAGTGTCCCCTGCAGAAAGCCGTATTTAAAGAAACAGTCTGACAGTTTGGGAAATCTGCTTGTTCTTGTTGGATCTCAGCTAATAATGAGCTAAAGTTTAAAAAGGGGAAACATACAGCAGACTTTACTAACTTCTACTGAAACATGTTGGTCTGATCTTTTGTGACTGTCCCTGTCACACTTTATCATTTCTGCCCCAAATTATTATCTAAAAAAGTCTGAAAGCTTTAAGAGTTGTGAGGAAACCTCACTTGGTCAGAAAGTGCAGGATGCCTCCCTGCTAACAGCAGGTTGGGCTTTATGTTCATATAGACAACAGAGATTTGTCAACCAGCAGAGATTTTGTTGAACCTTCATTTGTCAGCTTTTAATTCACTGAGTTGGTCAAAGACAAACATTCACAGTTTGGTCTACAAACTGATTTTTATTGGATTTCCAGAAAATGTACAATTTCATATAAACTGACATAAACTGTGGTTTAAGATTTTATCCATATTGCCAAAAACACAACAGCTGCTGCAAAACAGCTGCTCTGAATCACATCCTAAACAGCAGCATGCCTACCACTAAAACAGCAAAACTTTAATGTATGTTAATTAAAGAAAAAGAAAACAATAGAGTTTTTTCCAATCATTAGATGACGGATCTGTCTCGTCTCTATCCTTTCTATTGGCCTCCATTTCTCCTCCTGTTTCCTCCCCTTTCTCTCTCTCCCTCTTTCTCTGCCTACATGAAGCTGACTGTGGAAATGTTGTCATCATTCATACTGATGGACTGCTGATATCATTGCTGTCCATTCTGCAGCAACACACAGAGGCCAAAAGCTTGTCTATGAACCCTTTCCTCATGAACACATACAGAAATAAGTCTGCAAGAGGACTGAATCTAAGAAATGTTAGAGACAGGATAAAGAGGGTCACATCATGGTATTGTCCCAGGTAGAAAATGATGTCGGGCAGGAACAGCAGCATGTAAATAAGCAGCACCAGAACCAAAATTCCCACAATACGGTATTTTTCATCAGAGGGGACCGAGATGGAAGCAGACAGGGCTTTGAGGGTCCCAGCCAGGAAGAATATGAACAGTGGGAAGGGAAGGAGGAGGAGGACGGCAAAGATTATGTGTGTGATTATGTGTGTGACCATATCTGCATAAAAGACATATAAAGATAAAGGACAACAAAGACAAGAGAAAGGACCCAGACCACGACACAGACCACCACAGAGGACTTGATGGATCTTCTGAAGCGGTACCACAGTGGGTGGGCGATGACCAAATACCTGTAATACAAGATGGACACAAAGTCTTTGAGGAGCTTCAGAGTTATAAACTAATATAATGTTCAGACACAGAAGCAGCTCCACACATACTGGATAGACAGACAGATACCTTTCCAGGGCGACGCAGACCATGAAGTAAATACTGGCAACCAGACCAGAGAGGTAAATGTATAAGAAGATGTTTGATATCTTCTTATCCACATTTGGTACCACCTCAACGATCATGCAGCAGAGCTGAATCAGGTCGGTAATGAGAAGGTTGATGACGTAGATGGGAGCAACATGATCACTTCTCACCTGCAGGAAAACATTGGTAAAAGTCAACAAGCAGTTGGAAACATGTTGTGAAGTCCACCTCCTCCCAAATCTGTCATCTTGCTCTGCCCAGCAGCTGCAGTCAGAGCCATTTCTGACTTTTTCATCAAACAGAAATCTCAGATATGACCCACTGGCCAATCACTGCAGGAACAAGACTAAGGGCCAGATTTCCTGCAGCTTCTGCAGCAGTTTTTCAGCCACAGATATGAAGCGTTCTGGCTCAAACACATGAGCTGGATTTATCCAGACTGGAGTCGCAGTTTAAGGCTCATGTTTGTGTTTGAAAGGTGAGAATCTCTCCTCATTGTAAATGTATTTCAGGGAGGATCGCTCAAATAATAAGAGGAGAGATGTTAACAGAAGTTCATTATGTTTTCACTGTATTGAGTTACACAATTTTTCACCTGTCAGTTTGCAGAGAAACAGAATAAGCTGCATTAAATATAGGCTAACATTTAACTATAAACAGTTATTATAACCTCCCCTCTCTCTGCATGAGCAGAACAAAGACAATGTTGCCAAAGCAACAAGAAATAATGAGGTTTTAACCACATGGTACCTGGCACCTATTTCTAGGAAAAACGCAGAAGATAACAAACCCAAAATAAATCAGTAATATCTCCTCAACCATTAGGCCTAGATGCAAAATTCTGGTCTCCTTTGAAATATTAATATTTATTTTACCATTACAGACTACATGGATATGAAATACAGACGAAATATGATATTTTGATGCAATAAACCATCAAAACCATCATAAGATAGATTATAATGCACCTGAATATCTTCCAAAACACCTAGAATACAACTGTAACTGTAAATTTGATGAAAAGAAAATGATATACAACAGTTACTACACAATCTTTCAAAAATTTACCAGGCGAATGTCCATGTTTTGGCCATATTTACTGTTTATATGTTCACTTTTATTGGTAGTTATTCTTCAAAACATTATTTCTCTCCACACAACCACGTTCCAAATAATATAAAGCTTCCAAAACATTGACATATTGATAAAAACAATCAATATATATGACCAAAAGCACTCCCATGCTTTACAGGCCACAGCTTGAGAACAGATCATCCTACAGGGCTGTGGGTGGTCTTATCCTGCATGTCTGTGTAGCTCGGCAGCAGAGGCCGATAAAGATCGCCTCCGCCAAATCACACTCTTCTTCTCCACTTAAATGACACAAACTAAACTTCAGACCGCAGCCGATCTAAACAAGATGGTGGCCCGCCAGACGGTCTTTGTTGACACAAAGCAACACTGTTTTTGGACGGAAAACAGCTAGAACAGCGAAAATCGATGACGTAAAAAAAATATCAATTCATAAAATCAGGAAAAAGCTGAAAAGAATTATCTAAGGAAGCTCTATGCGGCCATCTGTTAAAATATTTTTTTATTCCATTTTACCATGATAACGGGATAATTTTCTCATGATCTCAAGATAACTGAATACTGATAGGTGAATACAGGAGTGGCAGGTGCGTTTCTTTAGGATAACTTCAGAAAGATTTCCAGTGTCACTGGTTAGCTCAGTTGGTAGAGCACAGGACATGTAATCCAATGATTGTGTGTTTGAGTCCTGCTCTCAATCATTTTTTTTCTTCTTTTGGGAGTTTTTTATTATTCTTTTTAACAAAGTTGTTATGAAGAGATTCAGGGGAATCCACACATGCTTTATTGTGAGCATGTGAAACAGTCATTTTATAAGAACTTTGTTGAAGGATAATAAAAAAGAAAAAAATTGGCCTTACGTGAGGATCAAACACACAACCCTGATTGTATATCCTGTACCAACTGACACAGGAAACTCTTTGAAATGATCAGAAAGAAATGCTCCTGCTGACCCCGTGTTAAACTACTGTTTTGTTATCTTGAGATCAAGAGAAAACAACATTCGTTGTCTCGAGATCTTGAGATAATTATCATCGGAAAACGGAATAAGAAAAATATTTGAACGTATGGCCATTTAGGGCTTCCATAGATTTCTGAGTGCGTGCTTGTAAAATTATTTCAGAGCGCCTGGAAGTTGTAGTGTAATAGGAAGTACTAGATTCAGAGTAGCAACCTGGAGCTAGAAGCCTCCTCAAAATACCTACGCCTGACATTACTACTGTCCACACCGTGTCGTTGACCCATCTTTAGATGTGTCACACATGCGCCATTTTCCACTGTCCTGTCTATGTGAACGTGTCAAAGCGGGAATAAAAACCACCACTTCCGGTCCTAATCTTCTAAATAAAATCTTGGCAATCAGATAAAACATAGATTTGTGTGTGAGAGATGTTTATTGTAATAACAGTTGGTGCATATTGGTAACCTTATACACAATAAATCATGTGCTCACAGATTTAGGCACAATATTTAGTGTCATAACCCTGCTCTTAGGTCATGACAAATACAGAGACAGACACTAAGACTACCACAAATAAGCATATTTATTACAATAAATTAAAAACAGCAGAACTAATAGCTACAATTTAATGTGGTTTAATTCAATACAAACTACTGAAGGCGAAAACTGCGTGTGTGTTTCTTCATCCTCCTCCTGTTACTATTCCCCTTGTTTAAGGACACAACAAACACAATAAGGACAACCACAAAGAACATACTGGTGAGAAATGGTGAGAGTACAGTCCTCTGTGGTGCTCCTATGCTGCTGACCACCTGTTCAGACACACCACCCCTGAGTTGCACAAACTGAAGGAAGTCCATGAAGTTGTGGAGGTGTCCTCCTGCATCTTCTGGAGCTTCTCCTGCAGCAGGAAAGGCTGGATCGTGTTAAAAGCACTAGAGAAATCAAAGAACATGATCCTCACAATGCCTCCAGCTTTATCCAGGTGTGAGTGAGTGAGCTGAAGCAGGTAGATGATAGAATCCTCCACACCAACCTCAGGGCGCTACGCAAACTGCATTGGGTCAATGAAGTTGGTCACCTGAGGTCTAAGATGGGCCAGAACCAGTCTCTCCAGAACCTTCATGATGTGAGATGTTAAGGCAACCGGTCATTAGTCATTGAGGGCAGATGGAGACTTATTTGGCATTGGAACAAGGCACGATGTTTTCCACAGCCATTGGACCTTCTCCAGGCTCAGGCTGAAGTTGAAGAGGTGTTGTAAAATCCCACATAGCTGGTCTGCACAGGCCTTTAGGACTCTGGGGGACCATCCGGACCTGCAGCTTTGTTCTGGCGCAGTTTCTCCAGCTTTCTGCGGTGGGGGAAGATGTTGAGTATATAGTCCGGCAGTCACAGTGACATCACATTCCCCATTACCACTGAGGGGAGAAAAGGTTTGTATTTTCTCCTCTTTGTTCTCCGCAAGTGCCGGCCCTGCATCCCCTTCATCTCCTTTTCAGTTCGTTGCGATCCGGGTTCTCGCTCCAGGCAGTAGTGTGGGCCTGGAGAGCGCGATCAGCTGATCGCAAAGGTAAACAATACCTCCAAACCCGTTGGTGTAGTGACCTGGCACAAGAAAAGTGCCAAGTGCCAGGAAGAGAACAAGAGAAAATGGTAAATCCACAAAATATAACAAAATGCGACAAAAACACTAGAAAAAATGAAGAAACACGCAAACGTGCAACAGGCCGAGAGCCGCCAGAAGTGAAAGATATAGATATAAGATATAGACATCAGATTGATAATCTGTGTCCATTTGCTTCCCCATATCCTAGAACCATTTTTCCTTTCACTCTGGTGAAATATTTATGCTGTGTCTTGGCCAGGTCTCTCTTGCAAAGACATTTTAATCTCAGTGAGACTCACCTGGTTAAAAAAGGTAAACTTTTTTTTTTTTAAAAGCACCTCAGCAGCCAACCCCCTGCCTGTGTCCTGTTCAACTAGTGCCCCAGCGGCTGGCCACCTGCCATTCCTGCCTGCTTGCCTGGCTGCCCCTCTGCCTACCTCACCTGGGAGAGAGTTCACCACAGATTAAAGACTCTGGGAGATGACTCCTCTGCTCTCCTACCATGCTAACTGTGCTATGGAATCAGAGATCGCATGAGGGCGACGTGGACACCGCCTCTGCCCCTGTGCCTCTCCGATGCCCTGCTCCAGTCTTTGCTGCCCAGCTCCTGCCCTCAACACTGCCCAGCGCTTCTGAGTCAGTGGTTGGACCAACTCCTGCTTCTGATTCCCCAACAGTGAACTGTCAGTGGCACGACCTGCTCCTTGTTCCTCATCACTGGCCCAACTGACGCCTCTTCCTGGTTCCCCCCATCAGTGGCCTGACCAACACCTGCTCCTGGTTCCCCATTGGTGGCCCTACCTACACCTGCTCCTGGTTCCCCATCAGTAGTTCAACCGAAACCTACTCCTGGATTCCTGACAGTGGTCAGATCGACACCTGGATCCTGTGCTCAGTTGGCGGCCTGTCCGACTCCTGTCACCTCTCCCTGCTGTTTTACAGATTCTACATGCTCTTGCTGTGCTTCTGATGATTCCTGTGCAGTAAACATCCCCTGACCTAGGGGGCAGCAGTCAGAAGTCAGAAGAGCTTACAGAGTTTCCTTGGCTCCATCGGTTCTCCTATTGTGTTCCTTGATGACGCTATCCCTGCAGCCCAGAGACCCTGCTGTTGACCTCCAGTCCTCCTGTCCTGTCACCTGTCAACACTTGCCCTGACCTCTGGCCCTCCTCCAGATACCTCTTCATTTTGGACTATTCTGATCTGCTTGTTTTGTGTTTTGGGCTTGGCTATGGTTAGGAACATCAGAAGATGTTCCTTGATGAGGAGGGTGGTTGTGGTTTTTTGTTATGATTTGTGGGTTCAAGTGTCAGTGTTTTGTTTCTGTACGGATCTGGTTTTGTTTCTGCGTACTTGTCCAGTTCCATCTGATTTTGAACTTTTCTGGTGTTTGTTTCAGCTCTGTGTCCTGTCTGCCTGATTCCCCTGATGTGTGTCACCTGTGAATCACCCTGCCTGCCCGAGTGTCATGTGTTGCACCTGGTTGCTCTCCCTGCTGTCTGATGCTCGTCTGATCTTGTAGAAATGACTGTCAGATCTTTTCAGTCTTTGTCCAGTTATAGTTGTTTGTCGAGTGTTCTGTCTGTGTTCTGAATTTTTTTAAATTTGAGATTAATCTGTTTCTGATTCACCTTTCATTCGTGGAGTTAAACCTTTGTTTTGGACTTTGCTACATGTAAGTAAAAGAATCCCGCTTTTGTTTATTAAAACTTCACAAACTGAATCTGCACTTCTGTGTCTTGCGTTGGGTCCAAAATCTGCGTCTCACTTGGTCAACACTGACAATTTTTGATGGCATTCCAAATAGTTGTAAAAACCAAAATACAAATGAATATCTACAAAATTTCATAATTAATGAAATAATAAGCCCATATAATGCTGTACAAACTGCTCTGACAAACGTGACGACTGTTTGATGTTAGTCTTGAGTTCATGTACAGCTTCATGTACATTTTAATTATGGAGTATATTATTCCTGTAAGTTTATAGATCATTGCAAGCCTTTGTCCCAGCCCCTGACACCTAGCCCCCAAACCAGATCAAGATACTTTCCAGACAGACAGGCTGTAGGACAAACACATTTAGAGCCCAGACAGTGCATGTACAGACAATAAATAAATAACTCTCAGTCAGAATGTACATACCATAGAATAAAGGGCATAGATGGCCACGAGGGTCAAAGGAAGGCCGATAGCACTGATTATGAATGTCACCACATCTTCGGACTTTGTATCATAGTTGGTGATGTTGCTGTAATTCTGGTAGTTGGAGGTGAAGTTGCTGTAATCAGAGCTTTGGTCATGTTTCGTGCTTTTACTGTAGTAATCTTCCATTCTTCAGAGTGAAACCTGTTGTTTGAAAGCTCAAGTTATTAAAAGGGAGCAGGTTTTTAAAATCTACCTAACATTGTTCAGTGACATCACTAAAGCTGTGAGGTGAAGTTCACACAAACACAGTGTACCTGTAGTTTACCCACAATCATATCAAATCCCAAACTGCTGTCTTTCACTTTTTATCATCATTCCTCAACATTTGTTACATTTAACTTTTGCAGGATAAGAAAATAACAAAATAATAACAAGTTCTAGTGAATAAATATCTGTACGTGCTGATACAGCATGAGGTCATTACTGCAGCCACAGAACATCGCCCAGATGTTTCAGTAATTTAATGAATAATGTTAATGCACATTGGTTTAGGACATCTTGCCTGTCCGCTGTACTCGATGCCCCTCTGCCCTCTGAGTTTGCATGAGGAGGTTTACATGACTGATTAATCTACCTGATGAACCATCTGCAGATTTTATCTTAAGGGGACAGAACGTGCACTTTTCCTTGTTGGTGTTTATTCTGACATTATTTTATTGCATCATCCCTGTCTCCCTCTGTCCACGTCCTGTCTGTCTCTACTGTTTCCTGCAATAAAGGCGAAAATGGCCCAAATGGCCCCAAAACCTGAATTAACTACATACAAGTTATTATGTTTAGAACTGATTGCTTATTTAACTGAATCATTAACTGACTGGAACCTGTCTTGTGTCACATAACTCTGTCCTCCAGACACATTTGATCAACAAGTACTGTTTGGCATGTCTTGGTTGTTATCATTTTCTGAAAAAAAAAAACACTATTAAAAATCTCTCAGTGGATTAATGTTGGGTCATCAATAGTACAACATATCTGGACTCCATTACTTTAATGTCTGAAATCTCATTTTCATCATTCTTTCTTTACCTCATTTAATTTATTTGAAATACTTCTTTATTGCATGCTTTCATCATTTTAGTGTTTTATAGGAAGAGAAAAAAATTAAACAAAAAGTAATTGGTTTAACTTCAGTATTCTGTATACCATGTCCATTTATCTGTTTAATTCACTCTACATAAGAGAGAAAAGTAACATAAACATACCAAAATTTACCTTTAAAAGCTGCAAAACCCACCTAAAGTTCCCTACTCCGGTTCGCGATATTTTGTCCTCCGCATCTAAACAGCCACCTCAAAAGGTGATAACATGCAGTAGGTTGATGATAGTCTACACCTGCTCTTCTAAGAAAAGGGAGTGCCACAAATCCCAAATCTTGGCCATAATGTTACTTCCCACTGCTGGGTCGAAGACAGGGCGAGCTTCCCAGAAGAACTCGACAGACATACTAGCTGTGTTTCATGTACCACATTTTAAACATCCATCAATGATAAATATCTCAAATGTCTCCATAAACAGGACATCAAAATGTATGACTAAAAGTGCGAGCAGACTATAACTAACCATAACTTATTTGAATGCAGATTAAAGACAGACACACTTACACACGTGTCTGCCAGAGCTGAAATATTATCTCAAGTTATCGTATTGTTCTGTTCTAACTTGTCCTGAATCTACCAGGTCAAATTGTTATTTTCTCAGAAATTTGAACCACAGCAGTAGATAAATGGGTCACGAACATGCACGCGCTTGAAGCTCTAACACATTGTGTGTGTGTGTGTGTGTGTGTGTGTGTGTGTGTGTGTTTGTGTGTGTGTGTGTGTGTGTGTGTCAGGGTATCCTGGGCACATACTGACCATTTGGCCCAACTGATGAGTGTGTATGTCAGTGTGTGTGTGTGTATTGGAGGGGGGGGGGGGTAAATTGAAAAGAACTTATTTTACTACCGGCAATGAAAAAATTATGAAAAATACAGTTGGTCTAAAGCTGGAAAGTAGTCAGGACAAAAACATTAAAGGGTGTAGATGTAGAGTGTATGGTTCTTTTGTGTTTCTTCTTTTCATACATGTCGGAGTGTGAATGCTGTTCCACGCCTTAAACCTTGTTAAAACTGTAAGATGATCTTGGCTTAATTTAATGAACTTCTAAAGATGGTGGTTTAAGTCTTTCATTTCAAACAGCGACTGCAGCATGTTTTCCAGTATGCCTGATTAATTTTTTTGTCAAACACAAAAAAAAATGCTAAAGTCTTTGATTTCTAATGCAAGAAGTCAGAATTACGTAAAGGTTCAGATTAACATGCACATGCAATAACATGCAAGTCTTGGTGTCTAAAATAGAGAGTTAATATCTGCAGGATAGTGTCCTGTCCTTCCTTAATGTGACAAGAGCCTGTTTAAAGCAGGTGGGGGAGTCAAATTTTTGATTTGGAGATGTAACACGGATATGAGAGAGAGGTGTCTATATCTAATGTTTTTAAAAACACATGGTTGGTGTTGGACATTCACCCTTATTACACAGAAGCAAGAAACTGCCATTATTCCCATGAAAAAACACGTCTCTCTGTTTAAGCGATTCAGATAATGAGTACAGTGCATTCCTTAAGTATTAAAATATTTCATTTGATTGTTGCATCATGTGGAGCTCTCATATTTGTGTGTGTGTGTGTGTGTGCGCGTACCATTGTTTGAGTGGGGAGAGTCTGCTATGTCTCAGGTGTCATGGATATGTCAGGCAGGTGACTGAGTATTAAAGAAAGAGGTTGTCCTATTATTACAATAGCAAAACTGTTCCTTAAGCAGTTTTTTCTCCTTTTTCGCTCGTACTCATCACTTTTTTAAAGCATAATTTCTTAAACATTCTGAAATATAGTTTGCAGTTAGTAACAAATGAAAATGCCTTAAATAAAAGGTTTATTTGCACGTTAAGAAAACATGCAATGCAAATAAAACATAGAAGAAACAAATGTGCATTGTCCAAAAAAAAGTAACTTAAGCTGAAAAAAGAAGCTACTGATTATAAAATGATCCAAAGACTTTCTCCAGAATGCAGGAAATGAAGGGTTTAATGATCAAAATTTCCTGGGGGAGGTCCCCCGAGACCGCCCACTCATATAGCTCGGCATTGAGGATATCTTTAAAACACTGTTTAAGGATATTGTTGTCTCATTCTTGTGAACCTAATATCGCGCATCGTAATGTCTCGCGAGCTAAGTGTCTCTTCACACCACTGATCTGAGCCCCTATGTCCCCACCACTTTTCAACACAAAAGTGTTCCGGTGAAGTTAGCAACAATAAATATATGCAACGTCCGGTTAGACTTTCAAAATAAAAACACTAGCATTTCGAAACATCGCCATTTTGAAATGGCACGTTATCAAAGTTGTGAAACGTTGCAATTTGGTTAGGTTTACGCACAAAAATTACTTGGTTAAAGTTAGGAAAACATCATGGTTTGGGTTAAAATAACTACGTACGTCAGCTAACATCACTTACATCAATTTACATAACTTGCCTAAATAAAAATAGTTGATGTTGACTTGGACACACCAAGCCCAGTCTCCTGGTTCAAAGTCGGGGTTCTGGCCCTCCATCCACCCCAACCACCTCCTTACTCAGTCTTTTCTGTTAAATATCATTCCATCAAAAACTGATGCTACAGGGCTTCCCCCAATGTGTTGCACTATGACGCTATAGGGATCCCAAGTGCGTTACAAACGACAACTATGGCTCTTGACCACGTGTCCATATGTGACGAGTTAGGAGTGACAACAGGCTGGCAGGAAAAAAAGTTTTTTTTCTGAATGGAGTTCGGATTGATGAGGTCTGTGTTATGCTATCTGGAATCAAGTCACATATTTTCTGAACTTACTAGGTAGTTCAACTTCCTCGCTGACTTTCCACCAAGCAATGTCCAGTTTTGTCTGACGCTAACAAAAACCGTGGAAACCGGAAACACAGTGGCCCCCTGCTGAAAAACATAAAATCTGTCAACTCTGAGTCCCCCCGTCCCCCCGCCGCAGGTAAATGCTGCAGTTGTGCAGCAGAATCCACTTCGACTACAGGTGATTATTTGTCCATATGCTCAGGTGCTCTTTCCCCCACAGCTCCCCGTCAGCCAACAGCGGTCTGTCAGCAGTGACTCAGTCACTCTGCTCTTCCTAGTCCTCTTCAAACAATGCTCTGAAGCCGTTGGTGAAAATCTCAGTACTGAGGGGCTATCTAGATACAGCGCCATGCAACTTTCTGCCTTGGCGCCACCAGGTCCTGTACCGCACTTTGCATTTGGTCTGATTGCAGGGGTCAAACTCTCCCCTTTCACACTATGGTGTTTTCTTCACAGCATGCATTTTACCCACTGCACACATGCGTGCCGCACACACACACACACACACACACACACACCAATCTGGTCAAATGGTCAGGATGTGTCTAAGATATCCTGACACACACAATTGGACACCCAATGCATACACCTCACGGACGTCACGTGTGCACGTCGTGCATGTACTTTGTGTGCTTGCATCTACGTGTACTATGGAATGTGTCCTTTACTTACTTGTAAGAACCTGATTTATCCAAGCTGTATTTGTAAACACATCCGTTTTTGATTAAACAGCCTAAAATATCGTTAAATCATTCAAGCTTAGGTATCAATGCTGTATCTGCAGTTTTAGAATTTAGCATTAAAATATTTCTGAAGCTACTGTATCGTGCTTTAATTCATACTATATCTGAGTTGATGAATTACTAAGCGTGAGTAGGGGAGAGCGGGGTGAGTTGAGCCAGTTTTTACTTGAGGTGTCTTTAAAGTGAGGACATGACAGTAAGGTCTCCAACTAAAATATGTTCATATATTTTAGGATGTGGTGCATCCCTGGAAATAATCACTTTACATCTAAAATAAACTGTTAAACAAATAAATGAACAAAAAAAGTGGAATCTTTGCTCAACGTACCCCATGTGAATGTGACTTTAAATTACATACTCATGTTAACTGGAACACATACAAGTCTTAGGTACTCCAACATTTTATTCAGTGTGAAATGTCAAATTCTGGTTTAAAAGACAAGACTTCTTTAGCCTGTTGACCTACACATCAAATCAAAATATGAAAGCTACATACCCTT